TTTCTTTACTCTTTGATTGTTCTAAAAAATATTTGATCTTGACTCAAAAATGATTTTCATATTTTTGAAAATATTTTTCTTTTTCACTCTTTGATCTCTCTAATCAAAATATGTCATCTCTGTTTTTGTTTTTCATATTCTCTCTTTTTTCTTTTTCATATCTCTTTCAGTTTTCAAAAAGAGTTATATTTATAGAGAAAATAAGATTTCAATATTAAAAACTCGTAACAGTAGTAATCTATTACCAATATCAAGTAATCTGTAACCAGTTTTTAATGAAAATGAAATCTTTAGAAACAAGAACAGAGGTAATCGATTACTAATCCTGGTAATCGATTATCTCGTGTTTCAGGAACCATAAAACTCATTTTTCAATAGATGTGTAATCGATTATTGAAGTTGGTAATCGATTATCTCGATAATTTTCTAATTTGTTTCACTTGTTTTCACTCAAAAGTCACCATGGTAATTAACTGCATGAATAGGTAATCGATTATCACAGAGAAAATGTTGAATTCTACTTCAAAACAAGGTTTCAGTAATCTATTACCTCACATGGTAATATATTATCTGGCTTAATCATAAATTCTTTTGAATGAACCAAGTTCTATTTTATGTCAAATCACGTTGTAATCTCTTACATTATATTTTCACATGAAATGAGAAACATTAAGTTGAAATATAAGTTTTATGCTTTCTAAAACAAGATGTAATTTTAAAATTAATTCATCACAATAAACAGACACATCCAAACCTAAGTCTAATAACAAACAACGCAATATCCTTTACAACATAGGCCATAAAATACAAAAAATGAATGAAGCAAACTAAATAAATCTATACAAATTTAATGCTAACATCATCAAAAACATGTTTAACATGAATATTCAGTCTGGATTGATTATGTTTCGGTGTTCAACATGTTTTTGGCACCGTAATCAATTATTAGCCATTATTAGGATCCATAATTATTAGTATGGAAATTGCACGTTTTTCTTTTTTTTTTTTCTTTTTCTTTTTCTTTTTCTTTCTCTTCCTTTATTGAAGCAAAGTAATCATAAATTGGAAAAGGGAACCTTTGCATAAAGAATGCAAAAGGCCAGCAAAGAGAGATAGGTACGAAACGTCCAATACAGCAAAAAGAAAAAAAAAAGTGACATCAAATAACAGTGAAGTGAGCTTTTGGGGGAACATCTTTCTTTTATCTACAACTTTTAAAATTTGAAAGTTAATTTTTTGAAGACCAAGTCAATAACTTTAGAAAATAATTAAAGTTTAATTTCGAACACTTACCATATTAATATTAGCATATTTTTATCCAAGAAACACAAATATTTTGAAGTAAAGCAATACCTCTGTTACTTTATAATATTTGTTTAAGATTGTTTTACACATAATAAACTTTCCTATTTTTTATAAAATGATTTTAATGTTATCTATTATATTCTCTTTTATTTTTAATTCATAATAAATATATATTAGTTATCAAATATAAATTAATTAAAAATGTAAGAATATAATTGATAGCATAATAATTAATATTATTTTAAAACTTGAAAATGACAAGTAAATTATAGAAACAAAATTTCCTAAAAATTCAACAGAATAAAAAGGAACACAAGGAATAACATTTGGCAGAAAACATGTCACTAGGTAAAAACAATTTTCTCTTCATCTATTTGATGCTACGACACATGTTTTCCTGTAATGACTTAGCGTAGCCGGGAGAGATTAAAATCTCAACTTTCAGCTTCTTTTCAGAAAAGAAGTTGTTTGTAAGAAAATGGTTGTGTTTGGAACAACAAATTAAATTTGTAAATTGTTTTTTCTTTTTTGAAATATAAATTATTTTTATGAAGCTAAAAGTTTGAAGCTTATTTCACTATATAATTAAATATTACCTTTTTTCGTTGTATTCAAATGAATTTAAGCTTTTTAAATTATTTTTCAACAAACTTATTCAAACACATTTCATCTTTTATGACAATCAATTATGATAATAATCAATTATTCATATAATTGATTATTAAAATAATCTAATATTTGTAGCTTTTTTACACATATTCTTTGTTAAATCATTATTTCGTTATAATCATGACTTTATTATCATTAAAATCAAAGCAGTAAACATCATTAATTCAATGGTGTGTTGCTCTATCAAAATCAACTTTAAAAAGCTCTCTCTTTTTTATTTTATTTTATTTTATCATGTTTGTAAATGATAAAGTGTGAATTATTTATGATAGAAACCTATTTTCCAAGAATACCTTTGGAAGAGATAAGTCTAAGAAGGCCCACTACAAGAAAATTTGTTTTTAGAGATTAAATTTTCAGTCTCTAAATTAACAAAATTAGTTACTAAATCAATAAGTGACTGAATTAGATACCAATTGTAGAAAGTAGTTAAATAGTGACCAAAAAATCAGTCTCTAGTAATATTTAAATTAGAAACTAGAAAACTTAGTCTCTAATTTTAGTGCATCTTGAGACTAAAATATTGGTTTCTAAAGTGTTTTAATAGTGACCAAAATTTTTGTCTCAGATTATATTTTAATTAGAGACCAAAAAAGTTGTATCTATTAAATAAATAATATATTTTAAACTATTAGCTACTAAAAGTTCAGTCTCTAATTACATTAAAAATATTAATGATAATAGAGATTGAATTAAGGACCAACTATAATCAATCTCTAAAATAGTATTTAAATAAGTTGCTAAAGTGACTATATAAATTTGGTCTCTAAATGAGTCTCAATTTAATGAATTTCTTGTAGTGAGGGTGAAAGTTGATAAAGTTGGTTTGAAGAATTGTAGGACACTTACCCTTATTTTGTAAGGTATCCTATCTTTAGAGACTTACCCTACCTTAAAGGACTCTTATTGTTATTATACATATTTCTTACTTGTAATTCATTTTAGTAATGATTGTTTTAGGATATTTTGGCCTTATATTTTGGGTTAAGTAGTGTAAGTGATTTGTTCTTGTATTACTTGAAGGTGTAATTAGTAGATTAGGAGAGGTGTAACTAGCTAAGCCTTATTAAACTTATTTGGATTTGGATGATCCAAATCTTTTTATGGCCCATAGGTTTGGACATCCACTTGCTTATACAAGTGGTTTGAACGACAAAATCAAGTCCAGTTTGCCATCCAAGCTACCAATTAAGTTACATGACTTTGATAGTGACATCTCAACAACTTGTTAAGAATAATAATTAGTTTAGTAGTTATAATGATTAGATTAAGTAGTTAGAGTTAACTCAAGTTAACCTAGGTTATTCTTAAAAAAGGATTAGTTTAGCTTGCTCCATAAACTTTTAGACAACTAACTAGACTTGTAGACATTTAACTAGAGTTAGTTAGCTTAAGAACAAGATAGCTAACCATGGTTACATTTATTCATTGCTAATTTAACTTGCACCATAAGCCAACTAAACTCTATATATTGTATCTTTATACCCATTTTGTATTAGTTTTGAGCATTTTATTGAATTTGATAAAATTTTCTCTCTCAAAATTCATTTCTTTCTTTGAAATTCTTTCTTTTCTCTTATCCTCTATTGAATGTGGTGAGAATTTAAAGAGATTTATCACTCTTCAAGAGTGTCATGTCACTCAAAGGAGATCCTACATTCTCTTGTGTGTTAGAAATAACTTCTAACATCATTGGAAGTCGTTGAAGAAACTTGAAGGATTCCAAAAAGCTAAGGATCCGCCCAAGAAAATTGAAGGAAAAGGTATATCAATCTAGTATATCCTAAGATTTCCATTAGTTTAGCTATTTGTTCTTTTACTTCCAACACAATTTACTCACATTTATAGAATTTCATTTCGATCTTCCCACGCAATCAATTTTGCTATAATTCTTTGCATGATTGTATTAATTTCAATTTCTATCAATGAATTTTGATTTTGAAAATGCCCAAGTTTTTACGATGAAATACTTAATTTTTCTTTTAATTTATCGAATTTTCTTTATAGAAGCTCTTTAGATTTACTTGCTGAGATGTTTGTGTTTGGCTGCAATATAATTAAAATTTTAATTTATAAAACCAAATAACAATAATAATATTTAAAAATAGTATTAAGTTTCAAAACTATTTTTTAAAAAAATTCACAAAAAATTACCAGTGATTATTTATTTATTTGTTTTTTTCATATTATAATCTACAAGAAACTTCCTTACAAATTTTAAAATTTACAGAAAATTTATCTACAGATTTTAAATTTTCCAAGAAATTTACCTGCAGATTTTATAATTTAGAGGGAATTTACCTACAAATTTTATATCTGCAGGAAGTTTGATGCAAAATTTTGCTATATTTTTTTTTAAAAAAAAAAAAGTCACAGATTTTTATGAAAAAAAATTCCCCTCAAAGATGGAGGCACCACTCTATTTAAAATAAGAAACAAACAATAAAGAAACACTAAATAAAACCGAGTGGCTAACGAAGACTATTACAATTCAAAAATAATTAACATGAGACCAAACACAAGAAGTAACCGTACATAAACATAAACATAAAATTTTAGTCTAATACTTTTGATGTCACATTCTATTACAGCTTGACTCATTAAGACTTTAAGATTTAAGTCTCGTCATCATCATCCGAAACATCCTCACTTGTAAAAGTAAAACACATAGAAAAACACAATAAAAAAAGGAGTGAGAAGCGTCTCACTCTAACTACCAATGAGATAGAGTCAGACAACCACAAACAAACAAACAACATATATTCTTAATGAATAGATCAAATCTGCAAATCATTTAATATTTCATTTTGTTAATTCAAATTTATTTTTATAATATTAAATTATATAAATTTTTTTACACATTTATAGAGTAATAGAAAATTTATATCTTTAAAAATGAGATCCTAGACGATTGGCCGATCGCCTACCTTCATCGAGCCATTGTCCATATCCAACATTATTTTCATAAGAACTATATCGCTTACCAAATATATGGTGATAATACGATAATAAAAAAATTAAAAAAGTTGGAAAATAACACAGTTGAGCTGAATTTATTAACATTATTGATGACACTCAAAGGAAATCGTAATTCCAAAACAAAGTAACATAGTACATATGCAGTTATACATCTGCTTCTCCACAGTAAACTTTTCTCCTTGAAACCCAACCCAGCTCCGCTTCACTTTCCCCCAGGGACGCCATAATTGTAGCCTCTTGCTGGTTGTTTCAGAAGGTGGCGTCCATCTAGAAGGTTAATTCCCAAACGACATTGGAATTTGGAACTCAATAATCAGTAACCAATATAAAACATTCAAAAAGAATAAATAATGAATTTAAACCTTAATTAGTTCTATTTTAATTAAAGAGTTGATGATTTAGTGAAAGGATGTTAGTTAGGTCACTTACGTGTGTAGTGAGGCTCTGATATCCAAAGGGGCTGTCTTGCTATTGCGAGATTCATTGATAAGAGAATCACAAATAGCAAAACCATGTTTAAGACAAGATTCTTGAAGCAACCCATCTTAAATGGAAAACAAGTATAGAAAGCCAAAGAGGGTATATAGCTATATATATTTAGAGTATAGATTGCTCTGCAGTGTGAGAATTGAATGAAGAGTAGAGTAGAACACATGCATATATATACAACATAAACACAGACTTTAATGATAATAATTAACATGTCCACGGAAATTACACGTCTTTCTTCTTCTGTTTTTTTCTTCCTTTTTAGTGAGTTGGGTACGAAACCTCCAATACAGCAAAAAGAAAAAAGACAAAAAAAAAAGAGAGAATGTCCTCTCCAATTCGGCCAAATAGCTTAAAAAAGTGTCATAACTTCCGGGAGTCATTTCATTGAAATTCGTTAATAGTGTATTTGAATGAAAAATTTAAATGAAATAATTGATTTATTTAAAAAAATTTAAATTGTTTGAGGTGAAATTTCTTATTTGAATGAAAAATTTGTAAAGAATTTGAAATTCAAGCATTTGTGAAATTTCTTAAAATAGTAAAATTTTAAGTTCTCCTGAAAAAAGTAAGAATTTAAAATTTCTCATTTTTTATTTCACTTATATATTTTATCTTATCTTTTATTGCTTTATGTTTTTAATTATTGAATATTCAAAAATACTTTTACAATTATTAAATATTATCTAATATTAATTTTTAAAATAATTAAATATTTAAAAATTAGCTAATATTTATTTTTATAAAATTTAATTTAAAAATTTCAACATATAAATATATTTTTAAAATCAATTTTACCATGATAGAATCAAATTATCATATCTAATCTAATAATTTAAAATTTAAAAAATTTGAATTGACTTATCCAAACTGTAACGACCCGCCTAGTCGTTCCACAACAACCAATACCACGCAGAATAGAGTGCATATATAAAAAAATAAAATATATATACATATGGTCTAGCTTGGGGCTAAAAAGTCAATATGCAAAATACATCATCCTAGCTACACTAAGTAGCCTATCAACAATAAAACATCCACTCCATCTGCTAGTTGCAGACCTGCAACTATCCTCCAACCTAACCCTGCTCTGCTCCCATACACAGTATGATCATTGCAGTCCAAACCACATGGAAACAGACAAGGGTAAACTAGTGAAAAGAATCAGCATATATAGAAATTATAAACAGCTACAGCTTATTAGCACATCATTAAGTTCAACAAAATTGACACACCACACATAATAGCGTACATCATTCAGCAAAATCACAACAAACATCTTATGCGTCATCACGCATTTTCAACTCGGAGATCTCCTACAGCTCAGCCTTATGGCCTACAACAGTTCAACCTTACGGCCTACAAAAGCTCAGGCATTCAGCCTACAACAGCTCAGCCTTTCGGCCTACAACAGCTTAGCCTTTCGACATACAACAGCTCAGCCTTACGGCCTACAACAGCTCAGCCTTACGGCCTACAACAGCTCAACCTTACAGCCTACAACAGTTCAGCCTTACAACCTACAACAGTTCATATTCACAACACAACTCAAAATCATCATTCAGCACAACACAACATAACATCAATACAACTTAAACATCATACGCCATTAACAACTTAAACAACATACAACTCAACTCAGCTCAATAGCATAAATCAGCATACAGCGTAAATAACATACAACATAATCAACATTGTTTTAAAGAAACACATCTGCGCCTGGCGCAATAGGATTGCGCCCGGCCTGAACCAACCAGAGAGCTCCAAAGCTCTCACGCGTCCGGCGCAATTCCAATTGCGCCCGGCGTGCTAGAAGGCAGAGACTCTCAAGAGTCTCCCACGGCCGACGTACCAAACCCGCACTCGGCGCGAGTAAGGCAAAGACCTCCCTAAGGTCTCACGCCCGGCGCACCAATTGCGCCCATCGCCACCCCTGGTGGAGACTCCTAGGGAGTCTTCACGCCCGGCGAGATATAATCACGCTCGACGCCATACCAGAACCCAAAATTATGAGTCCCTAACTACAAAAAAAATTACATTTAGCGATCACGAAAATCGGTCGCTAAATTGCTAAAATCGGTCGCTATTTGCCTTAGCGACCGAATTTAAGTAGTCGCAAAAACCTAGTCACAAAGCTATATAGCGACCAAAAAATTTTCGGTCGCTATTTAGCGACGGAATATTTTGGTTTAGCAACCAAAAATTTTGGTCGCTATTTAGCGACCGAAAATTTCGGTTGCAAAATGGTTGCAATGATTTTGGTCGCTGATGTGTATGGGGACCAAATTAGTGACCGAATAAATCGGTCGCTAAATCGGTCGCTAAAGATTTATTTTTTATTTTATTAATTTTTATATACGTTGCAAATTAGGTCGCTATGAAATACTCATATTTGGTCTCTCAAGGATTCTATTTCACAAAAAATCGGTTACATTGGAAAAATTAGTGGTACCCTTTACTATCTCCCTGATCTCTATATATTTCAGAAATGTTTGTTTAATTGAATTTCAACGTTGATCATTAATTGAATTGTTCTAAACCTTATTTCACTTGCTCAACAATTCAATTATCTATTCTCTTGACTTTAACATGCCATATAAGATTGAAAAAAGCATATTCTTTTTTTTCAAATGACCAGCGTACTTAATTCCAACAAGTGGATAATTTCTCCAGGGTACAAGATGCAATGAATTCCTATTAGCTGCAATATTGTGAAAACAATTGCATGTGCAACATATCCAAGTGGACATTGGTCGTTGTTCTCGCCTACCAATAGACAGTAAGAATGGAAACAATACAAACTAGAGGAATTTGGATCCTCTCTCTAACCATATCTAGTAATATTAATAATCATTGGATATATTTAATGTTTCAAATTTAATATTATAAAAATTATTTAAAAAGTTACATTAATTATAAGATTAAATTTGAGCCATTAAATATATCTAATGATTATTAATATTGTTAAAAAAAAGTCGGAGAAAAAATATTACAAGAGATGATCCAAATTCGCTCGAGAGATCGTGACATAACCTATATAGACTTATATATATATATATATAAAATAAGATTTAAATGTTATATTAAACTTTAAAATATAATTAAAAATATATCATGAGTGTCAAATTATATCTTAAAAATATGCTAATATAGTATAAAAAAGTTATGTTTGATTTTATAAAGCACAATATATTTATTTATTTTTATTTCTATGTTGATCTTAAATTATTACAAAAAATACTCTTGAAAAAATGTGTAGGTCAAGTTATTATGTAGGCCATCTTATTTCACCAAAGCTAATTCCAAGCGTGTGATTCAGCGGTAGGGGTTGATTCACGTTTAAGCAAGATTAGAGGTTTGAATCCTGCCTTGCTTATGCAGTCGCCTTAAATCTTAAGGCTAGCGACCAACTATCCCATCTTTTGAGGTACCTCCAACGCTATCTGGACTGACAAAGTCTAATGTGAGCGAATCAACGATGGCCAATTGGGCTTTGTAAAATTTTTATAGCTTTGCATCATCAGCTCAACGTTGTTAACTGTCAAAGGTTGCCTATTACATATATATAATTAAAGTCGCGTCTAAGTTTGGCCTTAGTCTATGTCTTACACGTGTTTGGATGAAGCATATATTTTATTATTCTAATTTGGTAAACTAAGAAAACTGATAATTATAAATTAGGATTCTTAGAATTTCCAAATTTAAGAATTAACTTGGAATGATGTAAAGAATATAATAACATTGAATTATAGGAATCATGTGTATAGAATCTTAGGATCATATAGGAATACAATATACTAAATTCAATTCCAACAGTTGTTCTCATTTCCTTCTCGTATATTTTGTATTTGTGCTTTTTGTGTTGGTTTGTTTGTTTGTTTAATGTTCCAACTTCAAAACAACAAGCTTATGTACAATTGTAAATTTTATAAATTTTAGTTAAGATGATAGAAATTATAAAATATTTGACAAGTCCCTTAGAATATAGGAAGCCATACTTTAAATGTATTACAACAAACTCGGTATGCTTGCCAAAAAATCAACATGCAATTGGTGTTGTACGTAACCATCCGACAGGTCTTATATTTATTACAACTCAGCAACTGAATAATGAAAAACATAAATATAATCTAACCTAAGATTATCATGTAAAAAATTCTTGAATATTCATACAACAATATATATGTAAGGAATAACAACTAAAAACATAAGAACCCTCACACACACACACCTACATTTGTATTTGTGCTTTTTGTACTGGATTGTTTGTTTAATGTTCCAACTCCAAAAAAACAAACTTATGTACAATTGTAAATTATTATTTTATCTGACAAGTCCCTAAGAATACGAGAACCCGTACTTCAAAATATATTACAAACAAACTTGGTACGCTTGCCAAAAAATCAACATGAAATTAGTGTTATATATAACAACTTGCCAAGTCCTACACTTACTACAATTCGACAACTAAGTAACAAAAAACATAAATATAATCTAACCTAGAATTATCATGCAAACAATTCTTGAATATTCATGCAATAATATATGTGTAAGGAATAACAACTAAAACCATAAGAACCCTCACACACACACACATACAAATTTAGAAATATTTGTTAAGTCAAAAAATGATATTGAGTCCCTCAAGCTTTATAGTTTTAATGCTAACAAACAAAACTTTACAAGAGAAGATGTCCTAAAATATATCTTTGAAAATGATCATTAGATGAAATGTAAGATGCAGATCATCTGTAAGACGATGTAAATCAGACGAAGCACATAGTTTGTCTCATGTTCATTACATGTCATTGTTTATTGAGACTAACAATCTTAGGTGACAATTATCCTTTGAATGATTTTAAATGGGCCATAGAAACGCGGTCGAAGTTTCTCATTTGGTTGTTTAGCTAATGACTTCATCTTATAAGGTTGCAAATTGAGATATACCTACTCTCCTTCCTCATACTCTACATCACCGAAAATTCACACTGACCCTCATGGATTTTGAAAGTTGTCTTCTTTATATCTTCTTCCCTTATCCGAATTTGATGATAAGTAGACCTTAAATCCAAATTAGAAAAGACTTTAGCCCCTTCCAACTCGTCTAATAACTCATCTATAATGGGAATAAAATTTGCGACTAAAAAATTCGGT